CAAGTTAAAACGAGGTCATTAGGGTGAGCCCTAATCATTTATGACTAGCATCCTTATAAAAAAGGGAAATTTGCACACACAGGGACATACAGGGAAAACGTTAAGTGAAGATGAAGGCAGAGATCGGGGTGACGCATCTACAAGCTGAGGAAAGTCAGAGATGTACCAGCAAACCACCAGCAGCAGGGAGAGGGGCCTGGAACAGCCTCCCCCTCACGGCCTCAGAAGGAACCCACCCTTCTGACATCTTGATCTTAGAATTTTAGCCCCTGGAACTGTGAGACAGTACGTTTCCTTTTTAAAAAAATATTTAGTGGTTCCCTGGTGGTGCAGTGGTTGAGAGTCCGCCTGCTGATGCAGGGGACACGGGTTCGTGCCCCGGTCTGGGAAGATCCCACGTGCCGTGGAGCGGCTGGGCCCGTGAGCCATGGCCGTTGAGCCTGTGCATCCGGAGGCTGTGCTCCGCAATGGGAGAGGCCACAGCAGTGAGAGGCCCGCATACCGCAAAAAAAAAAAAAATTATTTATTTTTGGTTGCATTGGGTCTTCGTTGCTGTGCACGGGCTTTCTCTAGTTGCGGCGAGTGGGGGGCTACTCTTTGCTGCGGTGCGCGGGCTTCTCATCGCAGTGGCTTCTCTTGTTGCAGAGCACGGGCTCTAGGCACGCGGTCTTCAGTAGTTGCGGCACACAGGCTCAGTAGCTGTGGCTCGTGGGCTCTAGAGCGCAGGCTCAGTAGTTGTGGCGCACGGGCTTAGTTGCACCCTGGCATGTGGGATCTTCCCGGACCAGGGCTGGAACCCATGTCCCCTGCATTGGCAGGCAGATTCTTCACCACTGCGCCACCGGGGAAGCCCAAGACAGTACATTTCTGCTGTTTATGCCATCTAGGTTGTGGTACTCTGATAGGGCAGCTCTGGGAAAAGAATAGTCTCATCCAGATTGAAGCTGCAAGTGTGGTAGAAATACAGCATGGGAATTCCTTTCTCCCTGCACTTCTGTGACCAAGTTGAAAGCTCCCTGCTGTAAGAAACTCCTGTGCTAACTGAAGAATGTCGTTCGCCCTCTGCCTCTACAAGAATGAAGTTACCAGCCACTGCAGTCGCTGACCTTTGACACACCCTGAAAGGAATTCAGGGCAGAGATCAGGAATGAGGCACTCTGAGCTCTGGAAAATCTGGCAGAACAGGCCTTCCAATAGTTAGATATTTTCAGGAGAAAATTTTATGAACCCAATTTCTTGCATCTTCTCATACCTATAAAAGCACTAAAATCACTAACGGAGATGTCAGCTCCTTGTGACTAGCAGCAGCCTTCTACCGATATGTGTGCTTGATTGCATGGACCCCCGTTACCAGAATCATATATTTGCTGACCTCCCCCCTACCTCTTCCGAGCAGCTCCTCCAAGCTATCTGAAAGCCGTCTCCTGGGCTATAGTCCTCAGTAAGCCCCAAATGAAACTGAACTCACAGCTCTCATGTTGCACGGTTTTTTTTTTTAAATAAATTTATTTTCTTTTATTTATTTTTGGCTGAGTTGGGTCTTTGTTACTGTGCGCGGGCTTTCTCTAGTTGCAGCAAGAGGGGGCTACTCTTCGTTGTGGTGCGCCAGCTTCTCATTGCGGTGGCTTCTCTTGTTGCGGAGCACGGGCTCTACACGTGCAGGCTTCATTAGTTGTGGTTCACAGGCTCTAGAGCGCAGGCTCAGTAGTTGTGGCGCACGGGCTTAGCTGCTCCGTGGCATGTGGGATCTTCCCAGACCAGGGCTCGAACCCATGTCCCCTGCATTGGCAGGTGGATTCTTAACCACTGCGCCACCAGGGAAGCCCTGTTGCACGGTTTCTGTTTTGTTTTTCAGTCGACACCTGTTACCTGTATTGTAGCAATACGAGGAAGGCAGGAACAGAAGGAGAGGCAGGGGTATTCTCAAGCTTTTAGACAAGGAGGATTGTATGTGAGCCACTCTGAACTTTGACGAGAGGCCTGGTGGAGTGGAAGAAGCTTGTGCTAGAGGGGCTGAAGCCTGGGTTCTGGTCTATGCTGTTCTCCTCTTGGTCTCAATTCCTGCATTTGTAAAATGGGCTGGGTCCTCTGAACCACTGGCTTTTCTGAGGGACTTTCTTCCCCATAGTAGATGCTCAGTAATATTTGTTTGCACTTTAGATTTACCCAGCGACTTTTGAGCAGGGGGGATGGTCACTTTTCCTTAAAGAGACAGGGAACTGACTTGATTAAGGCCTCGTTGCTGGTAAGAAAGAGCCACACCTCAAACTCACACTTTTTAACCATGTCCTGCTGCTCTGAGATCAGCAAGAACAGCAGCCACCCTTTTACCCAGCACATACTCTGTGTGATTTACCAGGCTAAGCATTTTACACGCAAGATCTTAATCTTCATTTAAACCAGCAAGGAAGGTATTATTATTCCTTTTTTACAGAAGAGGAAACCAAAACTCTGAAGGTTGGGTAACAGGCTCAAGGTCACACAACACAGTACGTGGCAGAGGTGAAGTTTCACCTCTTTCCAGGTGAAGTCTGGAGCCCATCCCCATTCTCTCAAGCACTTGCTACCACCTCTCTGCTCTTTTAAGATAAATTCTGAGCTGAAGGTGAAGATTGGGCCAGCAGGTCAGCAATCTAGTCTCTGACTGAGCGAAGTTCCGTGGGGTCAGTACCATATTTTCTTGAATGACAAAACCACGGTAGTCCACTTATTCGCATTTGCTACTCATTCACACTCTGACCATGAGCTCAACACTGGGTACTAATCCGAGGGCACAAAGTAAGGCTTTCCCCCCTCCTCATATCGAAGCAATACATGCTTATTGTGGAAAATTTGCAAAATACAAAAAAGTATAGTTCCTCAAAAAATTAAAAATAGAATTCCTATACGATCCAACAATTCCACTTCTGAATATATGCCCCCCAAAATTAAAAGCAGGGACTTGAACAGGTATTTGTACACTCACGTTCATAGCAGCATTATTTACAATTACTAAAAGGTGGAAGCAACCCATGTCCATCCATGGATAAATGGATAACAACAACAAAAATACAGACAATGGAATATTATTCAGCCTTAAAAAGGAAGGAAATTCTGACACATGCCATGGCAAAGATGAAGCTTGAAGACATTATGCTAAGTGAAACAAGCCAGCCACAAAAGGATAAATACTATATGATCCACTTATACGAAGTCCTAGAATAGGCAAATTCATAGAGAAGGAAAACCACTTTCCAGGGACTGGGGTAGGGGAGATTGCAGAGTTAGTGTTCAATGGGTACAGAATTTTGTTTTGCAAGATGAAAATTCTCTAGAGAGGGATGGTGGTGATGGTTGCACAAAACTGTGAACATACTTAATGCCACTGAACTGGACACTTGCTTAAAATGGTAAATTTTATGTTCTGTGTATTTTTACCACAAAATGTATAGAAAAACAGGGGAAAAAATCACCCATGACATTTCAGTGCAGCTCTATTGGTAGGCTGGCACAGTGTCTTCTGAGTCTTTTTCTAATTTTAGCCTTTTATAGGTCTTTCTTTACAGCTACCTCTCTCGTGCATTATTGGAAGATGTTTTTACATTGTTATAGGACCCAAAGGGGCCATTTTAAACTATGCCATCATATGTGAAGCCCTGATGTTTACACATATTATATTCCACGTTGTGGCCTGGTAGGCAAGACTGCTAGGAAAGACAAAACTCACAGAACACAATCATGGGGACTCTGGCTCTGAGGACCCTTAAGGTATCCTGCTTCCATTTCCTGCTGCTGAAGGATCATTGAGAGGTTATCACACTTCTGCTTAAAATTCTCCAACATCCAATCTCATAACTTGGGGACAGCTCATTCCGTTTTTGCAGTCACACTCGTCCAACCTACTCTCCTCATTTTACAGACAGAAAAAAAAAGGAAAGCCATAGACCTCACTCTCAGAAAGCAGATGTCTTCTCTAATTTGTGACTTTCTCTCCAAATAGTATTCTTTACAACAGGCTGCAAACTGGCAGTGCGTGGGGTAAACCTGACCGGTAGATGAATTTTATTTGGCACAAGTTTTACAAATCAAGATTTTTTTGGTAAAAGTCCAGAACTCCAGGTTCTGTTGAAATGTGAGAACTGACCACACTGGGCGGCATTTCCACTCGGCCAAGCTGGCAGCAGCTGCCCGGTACACGCTCTCTACCTTGCCAAAGTCCCCTGCACTCTGTTCTCTCCAAAGAGGCTCAGGTCTAATTTAGAAATCCCCACTGGCCCTGTAGCGTACAAGGTTGATCCCTGACTTTAAACTTTCAGATTGAGAAATGCGCTCAGGATCGGTTTCATTCATCACTGACAAGGCTGTGCCACCGACTGTGCTGGGGCACGCCCGCAGGGTCGGGCCTTAACCAGGCGTGAGGGCATCTGCACAGATCCGACGACCTTCCATTCAGGGCCGACTACTACCCGCGGACTACGGCCCAGCACCCAGGCCAGCACTGGCCTCCGGGTTCCGCTCCCGACTCGTCATACACCGGCAGGGCAGCAGGCTGGCCCCTGCGGAACGCCGCGTAGTCGTCGGTACCGCGCGCGGGCGACACCTACCTCGTCTGGCTGGTGAGGCACTCGGCAGGCGCCCAGTCGGGGCGGAATCGCACGGTTCCCACCAGCAGGCAGTGAAGCTGCGGGAGCTACCAGCCGGGAGGGCGGCACCCTCACCGCGTGGCCGGCGCTGCCATGGCGACGGCCCTCCCCGGGCCCCAAGCACCAGCACTCACGCCAGGGGTCTTGGAGCCCCGGCCTCGCTCAGCTGGAGCTCACGCATGCGCACCGACACCCAGGACCCCCTGATACCTGGCGGACATGGGTCGAACCACTGCGCGAAGGGGAGAGAGAACCTTGGAAAGGCTGAGAATGGATGGAAGGAGGAAGAAAAGGCCAAGATAGGACCCCAGATTGACTTGACTCTTAAGGTATCAAGGCCGTGGAATCCACCAGGGGCAGTGGGGTTGACGCTGACTCCGCTCCGAGGTTCTTCGTGACCTACTACCCCCTCCGCTTGTAATGGGTGGGCCCGGAAGGGCGGGCTCATGGAAGTTGCGCAGGCGCAGTGGGGCCGGCAGCATGGCGTCCAGGCCCAAGCGGCGTGCCTTGGACGGCGGGTTTTCGGTTCCGCGCGATGAGGACGAGGATGATGAACTCGAGGATGAGGACGAAGACAATGAAGACAGTGACGAAGAGGAGGATGAAGACGACGAGGTCGTCAATGAGGTGAGAAACACGCGCGACCCCGGTTTGGCTTATGTCTGGGAAAAAACTTTCCAACAACCAAAGCCATGTGAGTGTGTGAGCTGCTTGGAGTAGCGACTTCCCCGTACCTGAGGGTCCTTAAGCAGAAACTGGAGGTGAGAAAAGGTTCTCACTCAGGTTCCACTTCGGTCTTTTACATATTGCAGCCACAGAAAGTTATTTTTATAAGTCCTGTCCCGGCCGGGTGCGTGGGCCCTCCCACCGCCGCAACGGCGCCGTCCTCGGTGGCCTTTTTTAGTTCTCAGGCTAAAGCCCCAAATCCTTCTGGGCCGCCGGGGGCCCCGAGTTCATCCTCTGCCCTCCCCGCGCAGCTCCCCGCCGGGTTCGCGGTGCCTGCCTCCCTCATGGCGGCCGCCTTCCCGTTTCTCGAAGGCCAGCCTCCTTCTCCTCTCTGCGCGCTGCGTTTTTCCTGCAGTGTTTTCCCTTCCTTGGTCAGATCTCAACTAAGCTGTCTTTTCTGCTCCTCAGACCAAGTCCTAGTGATATGTTCTGCTAGAACTGGCTCCTACCGTACAGCCTGGCATTAGAGGTAGTTAACACTTGTTGAATGAATAATTAGGACGGAAAGGTCCTGAAGACCCCGGAATGGCTAATAGGTAGCCCTGAACTTAACACCCGCCGGGCAGAGTTGGTAATTTATGCCCCTGATCCTAATCTTTGCCATTTCTCTAAATGTTACCTGAAAACTGGGTTCACCTCTTGGTGGGTGATCGAGCCAGTAAGCACAACCAAGCTGCAGATTAGAAGGAGGAAGGATTTCTTACTTGCAGCAGAAGTAAGGAGAACACCGGGGGTCTTTCCCCAAGCAGTGTCTCCCCCAAACAGCAGCGCTGCTGTTTTAAGCTAAGGGTACGTGCATATTCATGAGGGGGCTTGAGCAGAGGCGAATTCAGCATAAAATTGGGGCAAAGGTCAACGGAGTCCAAGCTTTAGCTGATTGAAGTCTGGAGGGTCAGCATCATCATTCGGTCCTCCACCTGGGTGGGGGCCTTAGTTCCTGCAGAACTCAGATATTACGGATATCATTTGAGGAGGAGCTAGGACCCTCTTATGTCAAGAAAGCCATTCCTGGTTCTTTTTCTCAGGGACCCTCGAACGTATCTGCTTACGTAAATGGTTGCCAAATTCACCAGCTGCTCAAATCCAAAACCCGAAAGTTAACTGTAATTCCTCCCTTTTCCTCATCCCGCATCAGTAAATTCTGTTGGCTTTACCTTCAGTATCCAGACGTTTCTCATCAGTGATTCTGCAACGGTCAAAGTCCACCCTTCCACCATCTCTTGCCTGGACTTCTGTAGTAACTTTTAACTGGCATGCCTTTTCCCGTTCTTGTTCCCCTACAATCTCTCCTCCACCCACAGCAGAAAGATCTTTTGAAAATGTAGGTCTACGGACTTCCCTGGCTGTGCAGTGGTTAAGATTCCTCGCGCTTCCATTGCAGGGGGCATGGGTTTGATCCCTGGTCTGGGAACTAAGATCCTGCGTGCCGCACTGCGCGGCCAAAAAGAAAAAATGTAGATCTGTTCTCACTTCCCTGCTCTGACCGCTCCAATGGCTTCCCATTTCATTTGTATGAAAATCCAAAGTCCTCATGGTTATTGGACAGAGAGACAGCTAATATGGCGGGATCAGAATAAGGAAGAGGGTGATGGGGGAATAAAGTCAGAGATAAACATGAGCAGGGCAAGCATGGGTGCAGGATTAGTGCTGTGATTGTGGTGTGGGTATATAATATATTTTCCGTGGAACAGAGCTTTCCCTTACAAAGCAGCTCTTTACTTTGACCCCTTGCCTTAAATGCGGTCTCACTGTTTTTTATTTAGATCTTTAACTGGCTTTTGCTAACTTCGGGTTATAGAACTCAGCGCTTCTTGCGTTAACATGGATAATCTATCAGTTTGCCAGTGGTTGGAAATTTGTGTAGTAACCATCACTGATGATAGTGTAAGAAAATAGGCACTTACATATACTGCTGGTGGGACTATAAATTGAGGCACCCTTTTTGGAGGGCCATTTGACAACATCAGAACTTTAAAATGTGTATAAATCCTCTGATTCAGTAATTCTGCTTGTGAGAATTTACCCTCCAGCAATAATAGTAATACTAATAATACATGATTTAGGATCCTCAAGGACTGATCTTATTTAGCACTTAAAAGCCTTTAAGTTTTTTTTTTGGAGTGAAGTAATCCTTACATTTATTTATGGAATATTTCAGTGGCATTGCGTCTTAGAGTCTGTTATTGTTGTTTTACAGAGATAGATCAGGGAGCCTCGCTACACACACCTTTCAGTTACTTGTACTCACCATATTTCCTCCTGCCTCAGGGCCTTTGTCTGTGCTGTGCCAGGAACTCTCTTTACTGGTCCTAGGTTCCCAGCTCAAGTGTCACTTCTCTAAGGGAAGCCTTTCCTGAATTTCCAACCTCCTATTTCTTAAGCTGTTATAGCACCGTTCACCTGTGTTTTATAGCATGCATAGTTGTAAGCCTATATTTATTTCCACGACTATTTCCTTAATGTCGGTATTCTCACCTAAACCATAAGCTCCAGGAGGGCATGATCATTCATGTCTACTTTGCTCACCTTTTTATCTTGAGTGCCTGGCACAGTGCTTGGTACAGAGGGGTACTCAGTAAATTCATGCCCAGTGAATGAAGCGTGGCCTCAAATCCATGGGCTGAATCAAGCTCTAGGCAATGCCAAGGACTTTTGAAGTGATTTTGTTCTTTGCTCACTCTTACTGCAGTCAGGTAAATAATAATTTCTCATTTGCTTTATCCAGAACAGACTTTCTCAACATCAAAACTAGGTCACTCTGAATGCTTTGTTCTTCTCAGGCTTTTGTTTCAAATGAGGAGATGGTGTGAAGGTGCTTTGTCATCTGTGCAGATGGCAGTCTTGGCAATGTTTGCTTATTTTGAAGCCTAGGCAGTTATAGTTCTTTTGGTAACATTTTCTTCTTCTTGTCCTTTTTCTGGCATGTTCCATAGATGGAGATAGAGCCAAAAAGAATGAGGTGGGGAGGGAACATAATGCCTGAATTATCTTAGCGAGTTGTGTCTGATGACCTATTTTGTGTGTCATTTACAGGAAGTGAATATTGAATTCGAAGCTTATTCTATCTCAGATAACGATTACGACGGAATTAAGAAATTACTGCAGCAGGTATTGTCTTTTATTCATTACACATGGATTTGCTCTTCTAAGAAATTCCAGGCCATTCGATATAAGTTCTGTCAGATTTCATTATTTCTATTTTAGAATTCCCATTCCTACCCTCTCCACTTTGCCTGGAAGGAAGAATTGTTTTCTTTTCCAGGGCTAACTCCCCTATTTGTGCCTGTGCTCCCAGACCCCTTCCTTTGATTAAAATATTTAAGTATTCTGTGTTCTAAAATACTCTCCCTTTCATATTTTAATTACTTGAGCTATTCTGTTTTTCTCTAATTCATTTCTAAGCTTTGTGGGGTTAAAGGAATTCTCACATAATGGCCCTGTCACTGATTCCACCATCTGGTGCCACAAGCAGCAGGCTTGCTGCTTCTCCGTATTCCTTTACCCCACATAAGATGGCTTTGGTTCGCCACCCTTCAGAGCCTCCGGTGTCCAGTCCACCCTCCTTCCCTCTCTTCTCCTCCCTGTCCGCTCCTCTCCCCAAGACCCCCTGTATTACCACCGGCTCTGCCTCGTCTCAAATTTCTGTTCCTTGACTGCTTTGATTTGCTCTGGCTTTTCTTTCCTCTTGGGATTGCTTTTCTGGGTCATCTTCCTGGTCAAATCATTGAAATTTCATTATTTTTATTTGAATATGGAAATTAGAAGTTTTATTAGAAATCATACTTTGGTTTTATTTTTTTTAGGTTTTTTTTTAATAGATTTATTTTTATTTATTTATTTACTTTTGGCTACGTTGGGTCTTCATTGCTGCGTGCAGGCTTTCTCTAGTTGCGGCGAGTGGGGGCTACTCTTCGTTGCAGTGCGCGGGCTTCTCATTGCGGTGGCTTCTCGTTGAGGAGAGTGGGCTCTAGGCGTGCAGGCTTCAGTAGTTGTGGATCTCGAGCTCAGTAGTTGTTGCACACGGGCTCAGTAGTTGTGGCTCGCAGGCTCAGTAGTTGTGGCGCACAGGCTTAGCTGCTCCGTGGCATGTGGGATCTTCCCGGACCAGGGCTCAAACCCATGTCCCCTGCATTGGCAGGTGGATTCGTAACCACTCTGCCACCAGGGAAGTCCCATACTTTGGTTTTAATTTAAAATATATTTTTTTTCTCCTCTTAGCTTTTCCTAAAAGCTCCTGTGAACACTGCAGAACTAACAGATCTCTTAATTCAACAGAACCATATCGGGAGTGTGATTAAGGTAAGCAGGACAGTTGTGTTTATTCTGATTAAATTAGTTCTTTATCCTAAGTTCCTCCTGTTTTATAGCAAGTAGGCCAAAAACTCAAATTGGAAAGTATCACTGGTTAGAAGGCCATCTCAGCAATTCAGGGTTATTAAATGCAGTGATCTAGGTTGTGGCAGCGGATAGGGAGAGAAGTGGGCTGATTCAGAAGATATTGGGGAGGTGAAATACGACGGGGCTTAATGAATGGTTGGGTCTGAGAGTGAGTGGAAAAGGAGTTGAGGATGATACCCTAGTGTCTGGCTGGAGAACCAAGGTAGCAAGCATGGAGGAGGATCAGGTTAAGAGGGGAACACGAGCTTGGATTTGTACACTTTGCGTTTGATTTGCCTGTGATACATGCAAATGAGATGTTGCGCAGCAGCTGGAGACTGGGGCATTTTCAGCACATAAATGGTCACTGAAGTTGTGGGAGTAGTTGAAGTTGTCCAGGGAGGGCAGGGACAGAGTCTGGTCATAACAGCGTTAGTTGGGGGGATGAGCTAAGTGGCAGAACCTGCCAAGGAGACTCAGGAGTGACAGGAGAGGGAAAAGGGGGAAAGCCTCCAGTGGTGTCATGCAAAGCAGGGGGTGGCACTTGGAGGAGGAGGGAGCAGGCCTGGGACGAATCGCGCCTCTGCGTGTACTCTCCGCTGGCTCTACGTTTCTTCTGCTGCCTGACAGACTGCCCTGCAGCTTCGAGTCAGGACAGCAACAGTACTCTGGCCCGTGACTCTGCACTTTGGACAGAGCTCAGTGAGGACAGCTCGTATTCGCTCCGGGAACATTAGCTGCAGAGGCTCAGCGCGGGGCTGGCGGATTTCCTTGCAAGATGGTTCACTCCTGTGTCTCTGTTGGGAGCCCAACTGGAACCATGGGCCTCAGTCTCTGTAGTGTGGGCCTCCCTACCCAAGAGAGCCAGGCAGAAGTGCAGAGCATCTTATGTTACCGGGTGATTTCCACCATTCATTTGATCAGCAGACATGATGGCCTGTGCAGGTCCAAGGGGAGGGCACGTGGATCGCCCCCCTCAGTGGGAGGCGTGTCTAGGTCCCTTTGTCAGAAGAGAATGTGGGATAGGAAAAATCGCTTCAGCCTTCTGTGGAAAATGCAGTCTGCACGGTGACCTTCATCTTTCTCCGCGGGCATCTCTGACGATGAGGATGGTGCCTGCTTCGTAGGTGTGGGGGGGTGGTGAACGGGAGAAGATGCTTAGAACAGCATCTGGCGCACGGCTTGTACTCTGTATGCGTAACTGTCCCCGCTGAAGTCTTTTTTTCTATTCCCAGCACCTATCGTCTAGCTTATTGTAAAAAAGCAAAATAAACAACTCCACCTCGGTCTAAGGTTCCATCCACTCAAACGACCTCACCTTCAGCCACCTCACTTGGCTTTCAAAGCCAAAATTCTTGAAAGATATTTTGCATTTGATTTCCACCTCCTCTCCTAAACACCTTAATCTGGCTTTTACCCCCAACACTCTCCCGATGTCCTGAAACTGATGGGATCACCAACATCTTCATTACTAAATACAACAGACGCTTTTCAGACCTGCTGCCAACATTCAGAACCTGTAGCACACAACGTCAGGAAGATGAGAGGGTGACACCTTGGTAGCATCCCTTTATTAGCGCGTGGGGAGAAGCAGCTGCCTGCTCTGTGATCAGACACACGTGAGCTCTAGCTGATTAGTGTCCTGAGACCTGATGCATACCGATGAGAAGCAGTTGCTTTTATTTTTGAAAAAGCTTATTCTCTAGTCGGGGGATTCAGCCTTTCATCGGATAATTACACAAATAAGTCTAAATTACAATTATGGCTTCCTTGGCTTCCACAGAGACACCTGAGGTGTCCCAGGGACCCAGGCTTCTTGTTCCTAGGACAGGGACTGCCAGAGCCTTCTCTGGAGGCTTTGGAACTGGGGGGATTTGGACTCTTCTAGAGAAGGCGATTCCGAGGGAAGGGGAGGTGGGCTGGGGACTGCGTGTGCGTGGCTGGCGCGAGGCTGGAGTCTCAGGGCCCGGGTGTCGTGCAGCGGGTTGCTCAGAACTCGGCTGCCACGAAGAATTGTGTTGAGTGAAGAGGCCCGGGAGAGGGAAGGAGTGGGCTGGGAGTGGCAGGCCTCGGGCCAGGCCGGGGCGGGGCGGCGGGTGGTGGTGGGGGGGACGGGGGCGGGGCCCGCGCCACGGAGCAGCGGCGGCCGGCGGGGCGCGCCTGGCAGCCTGTCCAGGGGGAGGAAGGCCGAGTGGGTTCCGGGGTGCTCGTTGCTTTTCATCGACGGGGGGTTTGGGAGTCTCAGGGCTTCACACTGGGGGGCCTTCTTCCTGCCCCGGCTTTCCGTCCGTCAGCACCACGCAAGTTTTGCCACGGTGGCCGGGGGTCCTCTGACGTGCACGGAGGCTGCCGTGCTGCTCTCGGAGGATCAGGGCGGGTCCACGCAGTACGTTCTTCTGCGCTCCTCTCCCCTCTCCTCCAAGAGCCAACGTGCCCTTGGTCCTCTCGCCGGGACTGCGTCAGTCTCTCCTGAGCTGCCTCGGCGCCCTGCTGCGTTGCTGAGCTCGAGGCCTCTCTCCCGCGTCTGGCAGCCGCTCTGGCGGTGACCCAGGCCTTCGGGGCCTCGCCGCAGCCGCCCCCCCCCTTCGTGTTCCCGCACCGCCAGCTTCAGTGGAAGTGTTCTGCTGTGAAGCCTGGTTGCCCCTTCGCCTGAGGCCCCCTCCGTGGCACCGTCAGCTTGGATCCGGGAGCCGCGTTCTCCCTCGCCGGCCTCCGGGGAGCCCAGGCCCCTCGCGCAGCTCTGTCTGCTTCGATTTCCGCCCCACGGGCAGGCTCCGCTCCGCTCTCTGTTCCTGCCCTGAGGCCCCGGCCACCGGGGGGCGCTCTGGCGCTGCCGACCGCACCTGGCTGAGCCCGTGGTGCTGGTGACGCTTCGCACAGAACAAGTTCAGGGACAGACGGGCCGTCCTGGGTCCCTGCTGTCCTTCGGTGGAAGAGCAGCAGCCTCATTTTATTTCATTCATTCAGCGCTTGTTCCCCAAGGACTTAGTCTGGCCTGGCTCTGTGCTGGGGGCCGGGGATGCTGCCAGAGGAGTTTACAGCTGGGACGAGCAAACAACCAACAGGTAAAAGAAAATGTGGACTATGTGTCGAGTCGAGTACAGCTGAGCCAGGAAGTTCAAGGTGGAGTCAAGCATCTCACTCTTAGTTCTGTTTTCTCGATTCCTCATTTCCTCTCTTGCCCTCGTTTTCTTCTCTCCTACCCGTGCACACGGAGGCATTGCTCCCCTTCCCCAGTGGTGGGGACCGGCCGGTGGTCAGGAAGCATGCGTTTTAGGTGAGACAGTGTGGTGGACACACAGAGAAACAAGGCTGGGCTGGCTCCAGCCAGACCGCTTAGAAAACAGACTAAAATGGTTTCCTTCATGAGGTCTTATCTGTTCTGGATTTATAAGACATTGAGGAAAATGTCTTAAGAGTCTAGTAAAAAGAAATTTAGAGCAGAAGATCATCCAGAATGTAAGAAGAGGACAGAATCAAGGGAGGTAAAGTGATGTGAACAAGACCACACAATTTTAGCCCACGGTGCTTTTCTGAGGTGATGACAGTAAAACAAAGTTATCGTTTGAAAAGTGGAAAGATAAACGAGGCCTGGATTCCAAGACTTGGTGTTGCACTTCTTTCCAACCAAATATAAAGTTAATTTTTTTTTCTTTTTAAAATAGCAAACGGATGTTTCAGAAGACAGCGATGACGATGTGGATGAAGATGGGATTTTTGGCTTCATAAGCCTTTTAAATTTAACTGAAAGGAAGGTGGGTTTCCCTGACTGGCATCAGAATAGTTATTCCTTAGGCCAAACCCTCAGGAGTTAATTTTATTTAATGCATGATAAAAGTATCTTTTATATCAGACCATGATATTAACTATAAATATGTGTGCTCTTGTGAAATCTTATTGTAATCCTTTTTTCAGTATGAAGGTGTTTTTGTTTTCCTTTGAATACTCTGTACCCAGTTAAAGTCATTTACTGCCTGTGGTATAGAGAATCGTCACCTGGCTTTTCAGGAATGGGTGTCCTGATGTTGGTGTTGACACAGGAGGTGTTTTGCTGTCTCTGCAGCTGTTTTGATTTCTGAAGTTGAGGACACTTACTGACATTTATCTGTATTTTCATTCGTTACTTTTTATTGACTCATTGATGAGTTCTAATAAACAACCAGCAGCTTCCCCTCCTTAGAATAAGATGCAGGCTATACTTTATCGTAATTTTTAATTGAACTTTTCCAGTTACTTCCATTTGTCTTTATGAGATGGATTAGAATTTCCATCCCAGCATGTCTGAGTGTTAGTGTAACCTTCTCTGACCCTTGATTATGGGATGGTAAATAACCAGGTGTAGTTACTTTAGAGAAATACTTACGCAATCAACACTGACGACATATAAGGTTTTAAAGGTGTTGGCAGAAAACTGCCCTTACCTGTAAGATAAAAAGTGATAGCTCTCACTTTGGAGTTTTCTCCTGTAAGTGATGGCCTGTAATAAAAAGTGAGCCTTCTCTTTGCTTTCTAGGGTACCCCGTTTGCTGAACAAATTAAAGAGTTTATTTTACGCCTCTGCGAGAAGAACTGTGAAAAGAATATGGTTGAACAGCTGGACAAGCTTTTCAATGATGCCACCAGGCCTGTGGGCTTTCTGCTGAGTGAAAGATTCATTAACATTCCTGCACAGATAGCGCTGCCCATGCACCAACAGCTTCAGTAAGACACTTTGGAAGATGCCTTTGAACGGTAGTTCTTTCCCCAAGTGGATTCAGAAATGTGCTTCAAATGGCATGTTTTGGTATAGAAAGAGTTCTGCCCTTGGTTTAAGCATGAGTGATGAGAGTGCCTGTGAGATGCATGCATTATTAATAATTGGCTTTTTAAAAGAGTTTTAATTACTTAGGAATATTGTGATAGTAGGCTTAATAATCTTAGAGATTTAAGTGGTATAAAAATTGTTGAGTTTCATATAGACTTTTTATCTCCATTTGACTAAAGCTTTTAATCCTCTTCACAGATAGATTTCTGTAACACAAATAAAATATTGAATAATTACAACAATAACAAACAGTACAACTCCTAAATTCCACTGGGATATTTTATGACTAATGCAACCATGGTCCTGATACTGCATCTCTGGCTTCTCAGGGTTTGTTATTTTTTTAATTCAGGAGTTTTAAGTTTACAAGAATATTTTAAATGTAAGAAGGGCTAAGAATTGGCATCGCCCGTGCTTTGAAATAGAGGAGGATAAAATTACAGGCAGGCCCTCAGGCTTTACGGAATATTATTTCTCAGAGGTCACAGCACTTCTTTGTGATCTCCCTGGAAATAGTTGGTGCGAATGTAACTACAGTCTGAAGGCCTTTCGGTTTCCCATTTTTCCTTCAGAGACACATCGCTTTTTAGTTTTACTCTCATACCCTCAGCTGATACTCACATTGTACTTCTGGGGCCCAAGCGTGTTTTGTTTTGCGTTGTCTTTTTTCTGATCAGCTGGAGCTCATGTCTGTTTGGTTTCAGGAGAGCGTGATCTGCTTTCTCCTGATCCTCTATTGAAGAAAGCTGCAGAGGGTTGTTCTGAGTTTCTTTACATTTTTGTTTAGTCAGATGCACAGGGTTATTGTATGATTTAAAGAAAGGAAGAAAAGAATTAAAGGCTTCATTGCTATCTCATTGACTGTGGTAGTTTGAGGCATCTGTCTGGCCGTTCCTGCAGGAGGTCAGAAATGAGTCCCAGATGTGGTGATTGGAGATTGTAGTGGTCATATGCTGTAATGGCATTGGTCATGGCCGTGTGCCTTTGTGTGCTTCAGTTAAATGTTTGTTGTTTTAGAAAATCCAGATTCTTAGGTATTTTTAACAGAGCAGTGATGTGTGAACTTGAGATTCCTCTGTTAGTTGCTGTGTCTCCACAGCTCAGAGCATAATCTGAGAGTCATCGTACCATTTATTATAAAAGGCGCTGCCACAATCAATTGAATGTGCACCTGGATACATAAAGAAAACTCGCTGCTTTAGAAGCATCCAGATCTAATGTCTGTCCGTTAAGCCTGCGTCCCAGCAGAACCCAGAGAAGAGGCCTCACCGGTTTTCTCTGTGCTCTGCTTTGTTGATGGATCTCGCCTCACCCATCAGCCAAACCTTGTGTGTGTGTATGCCTCGTAGGAAAGAACTAGCAGAGGCGCACAAAACGAACAAGCCATGTGGGAAGTGTTCCTTCTACCTTCTGATTAGCAAGACGTTTGTGGAAGCAGGAAAAAGCAATTCCAAAAAGAAACTGAGCAGCCAAAAGAAAGATGAGTTAATGTTTGCAAATGCAGAAGAAGAATTTTTCTATGAGGTAAGCCCATCGTGTTCCATCTCTTTGTTTAGATGTAAATAAGGATTTTCTTGATAATAATCAGGATTTATTGCTCTCCCATTTTATGTCAAAGTCCTTCTGTTTTTAAACTTCTGTATCTACAGCAGCTAGGAGCTAGTAACACAGTGAGAGTGGGGAGGAGGTGATTACCATGCTGACGACATGCTTACTGTGAGATCTTTATTCTCAAACCGCTCTGGGAGGTGAACATCAGCCTGTGTGCACAGATGGGGGACGTTGAGTCCAAGGGAGCTTGGAGCCACTATCTGGTCGGTGTGGAGGACGGGGTGGACCCTGCTCTCCCGGTGCTGGCTAATGTGCCGCCCTGTGCCCTTAGTCCTGGAGGCCACCCCATTGGTGGGATTTCTAGCACTTTCTCCCTGTAAAAGCTTGTGCTGTGACGGACAACCAGATAGCAGAGCATGTTACTTTCTTATGCTGCCTTCCTCTCAAAAATGTTAAATACATCTCTGAGGAGGACATATTTTCCTGGATTGGATGATATCACTTATTTTAAGGTGTCCACTAAAGACTAAAGCACTATACATTCAGCTCTGCCCTTGTTTTTCGGGAAGTAAATAAGTGAAAATTAAATTTTTAAAAATGTGTGCCTCGGCACTTCAGGCAGACCATGTCAGGGACGTGTGTAACGGGTGTTTTAAGATGGGCTGGTTACGCGCACCTGCCTGTCTTCACACAACAGCTTTATGCTGAGGAAGCAGCTGGGACAGTGGGTAAGACCAGCATTTAAAGATGATTCTTCTCATTAACTGTCAAATTTTATGAGTCTTAATTTCACTTGTGTATCATGAGATTATTTTGAGAATCAAATGAGATCATGAATATGAGCGACTTCAGAATTGTAAACAGTAGTAGTGTTACTATTACTTAGCTGCTTGTTCCCCTCTTAGAAATGGAACACTTCTATCCATACTCCTCATGTAAGTTAGAAATCTATTTGGTGAGTGTTTTATAACGTCTGCCTGACTGTCCCATTTGAGCTTCCTTGATTCTGTGTTTTGCTTCCTTTAGCTGTCAGTCTTATTACATATGCCAAACGTAGTATTTTTTGTTATCAATTAAGTGAGTTTTGCCTTTAGCTTGTCTGAACTTTAAATTTATGGTTCTTTGGTTTAGAAGGCAATCCTGAAGTTCAACTACTCAGTGCAGGAGGAGAGCGACACGTGTCTGGGAGGCCGATGGTCCTTTGATGATGTACCAATGAAGCCCCTGCGAACTGTGATGTTAATTCCAAGCGACAAAATGAATGAAATCATGGATAAACTGAAGGAATATCTATCTGTCTAACCCATTTCCCATGGACAGTGGTGGGCTTGTTTTTGTAAAAATTACCAGAAGACTTAGTGGAGATTTACTGAAAAACTCATGACTTTATTCAGATTAAGGTCCTCTACAAAAAGTAGGGTTCTGTCACCCGTGTCTGTGACACATTTACAAAATACCTTTGCTTTTTAAGATTTTGGTCAAATTGAGAATGGTTGATTAAAAACTTTTCCAATAAGAAGAAAAACATGGAGTAGTAATTCAATAAAAACTTCTATTTTTAGTTGTTAAATAATATGCAAAAAGTTTTATTCTTTTCAAGACTATCCTTTGCAGGGTATGACATCCATCTTCACGTCATGTCTGCACGTCACTCCAGTGGACCAGCTGTTGGGCTGCCTTTGGGATATTTATTGCACATCAGGTTTTGTGTAGAAGGTTCTTGAGAGTCACTGTATAGTGCATCTTTGTTCAGTAGTTTCAGGGCACTTCTCACACATTTTCTGTTCCTTTTTCATTGTTGAAATGGGTGATAGGTGATCCATCACTTGCTGTAGAATATCCTTACTTTCACTAGGAGGCAGATTACTGAAATAGTATTGTGGTGCCAATTGCATAAATCTGTTTAAAACAAAATATTATTATTTTTGGTGAGAGGTACCAAACATGAGTGGACGCTTCCCAGGCCTGGAGAATCTGCTTGTAGAATTTTGATTAGTGTGAACTTCTCAGTGGCTTGGTCTGCCTTTGTAGAATGAATACTTTCTGTGGTTTACATGGAAACAATCCAATTGCATTTCTAGGATAAGTTGGGTCCTCTAGGGTCATGCCACACAGCGGAAGTGACACCCCCACTCTCATCACCGGGGGGAACGGGTACTTCCCCCAAGGCCCATCACAGTTTTGCGACAGGTCAGATCAGATGCTTGGGAGAACTCTGGGTGCATAAGAGGGAGTATCTGCATCTCATACTACACCATGTCCATTTGCTGAAGCTGGACACACCTGTAGTTACTCCTGGTTCCTGCCTAGAACATCACACTGCCCAAGTGGTAGTGGTACCTTCACAGTGGGTCCGGCATCTGCAGCAGCCTCTGAGGCTAGTCTCCATTCTCACTGCTGTCCCTATAGCCATTCACTTAGCAGCCAGAGGGATCTTTAAGATATATGGAGAAGAGGTTACCCTTGCTTAAAACGGAGTCTCCAATTGCTTTGTACTGCACTTAGGATCAACTCCAAACTCTTTACGTGGCCCATACCCTACACCTCTGCTACCTGCCTGTCTTCAACCTGGCCTCCACCCCTTCTCTTCCCCACTTGCTCCAGTCTTAGTGGCCTGTCTGTTTTGAGAGGTTGCTATGCTCAAGGTCTGCACCTGCTGGCCCTGTTCCTCTTAAGGTGCATCGTGCTTTGCTGTACATTTCTATACCGTGTTCTCTCTTTACGCTGTAACCTCAGAGGCGTGAGTATTTCTTGGTCATCTACAGAGACCTGCCTTTAGTAGGTACTCTCAACATAATTTAGATTGGTAGCAGTATAAACTTATATTGAAAATGTAAGAAAAACCAAATTTGTCATTTGCTTTCCATGTATGAATTCAAAGAAACCCCCTTTTCCTCCGTTAAACTTACAGTTCAGGAGAGATTTCTGAGGCGATCCTGATGTAGTTGTTGTCAGATATGCTGAACTTATGGAAGAGAACCCACTCTGGCATCTTCTTGGTGACAGAGTAACAAGAAAGGGGATGCAGCTGTGCGACTTGCTTGTGCGTCAGCATTAAGTAATTACCTGACCCATCGACGTCCCGAGCAATCTAAAAGGCAGCGTTTTACAGAAAAAAGGATTTTGTATTAATATGGAGATCGATACACAAAAATATTTTGTTTTAAAAATTCTAAAATACTTCACACAGAATAGTTAAAACTACAGATTTGCCGCCCATGTTTTCTAGTTTCAGATACAGAAAATAAGACATAAACATGTTTTGCTCAAAACTTGGAGCCAGTGATGATAATAAGGACGTTAACTAATTTTATCAATTTCAGGGCAGCATGCCAAAATAGTGCAGCTACAAAGGTGAATGTTTTGGTCAAGAAATAAAGCCAGCACGTTCCCTGTCGCGTGATGGACCACGCTCGCAAGTGTGCAGTGCTTTACACTTGACGTTTTAGCTCCTTTAATCCTCAGGATAACCCTGTGATGCAGGTAACCTTACTTCTTCCATACAGATGAGGAAATCCATGCTAGAATGTCCTTTTTCTCCATTAAGGGTGCTTTAGAGTTTAGGTGGTGCACACTAATTCTGTAACTTGCTTTAGTTTAGAGGCGCTACGTTAGTCAACCTCCACGCCGGGAAAGAAACAAATGGGCTGTCGCCTTTACTTCTTGTTGGGCATTACATCACCAGGTACATGGGAGCAAACAGGTGAGATGAGGGACTATACGTTCAGCCAAAGAGTGCTGTAACAGTTCCTCCGCGATGGGAAAGGTCTTCCTGACAGAACATTCTAGCTGAGTCCTCCGTTCCCCTGAGGGGAAGTATATTTAAGTACTAAATCTTTAGTAACATATAAGGGTTTTTAGTTTTATTTCAAAGTTAACATCAATACAGTAATCATCCTAAGTGGGAAGTTTCTGACAGGATGTCCTCAATATGTGAAATTTTGTGAAGAGCACACTACAGGTGGCCTGATCCATTCTTACCTGCATAAAATAACCAGACAGAAGAGCCTTCCTTATGTTCAGAGTGTTTTCCTTTGAGCCAAAAGCAGGTTCTGTGTAAGGAAGCTCGATTCGCTTGATGATTTCTAAGAGTTCGGCTCGGATTACATCTGCCATCCTGAGTGCAGAGCAGTTGAGGAAGTAATCGTGACACCACTTTTCAACACAGTCTAGGAAGGAACAAACAAAAGCTATTTAGAAATGACTTGTCATAACTGAGAGAGCCCAGGCGGGAAGGCGCTCTGCCTCTGCGTCCCTGTGTCCTCTCCTAACAAGGTTGTCACGAGTGAGTGCGAGGGAGGCAGCAAGGACGGGGACCTCGGTGGCCGCGGGAGTGGCTGTCCCTGGCACCGCTGGGAAGGGAGAGGGTGCCGGCTGGCAGGACCTGCAGTGACTGTGGGGGACTCCACGAGCCCACCAACTGTAAAGTGCAGGTCCCTAGCGCTGACCAATACTATATATCACCCTCCCTCATCTGGCTCGTAAGGGGCAGAAGAGACTGTCTCAAGATCAACATTTTGTCCAGTGTGCGTATGGCGAGGATGTACGTGCCCACGACATTCAATCAAACTGGGAGGGAAAAAGCTTACAGTACAGATACCTCTGATCCATGAAAGTATCTCACATACTTTACTTAATTATAAGAAAAGGATTACTACTAGGCTGATTTGGGAATGAATGATGTCACAGTTAAGCTCGCCTACCCTAGCTGCAAGTTTTGTATCAAAATTCAGTCCCCTGGATCAGCGTGAAGTTATTCTTTCTTGCCATCTGTGATTAGCTGGGCCCAGAGTTTCGCCTTGGCCTGCGAGCGCATGCGGCCTTGGCAGAGCGGGCTGCAGACCTCCGTTGGTCCTTCCCGTCCGCTCAGGCCCGTCTGGAGCCACAGGAGTGCTTGCAGTTGGTCCAACGACGACCACCACCAGCTTGCCCTCCAAAGATGCCAAGGCCCTCATGTACTTTCTGGCTCCACTGACAACTTTTTCTGCTCAGCTTTGAAAAACTAACTCCCTGCTCTGCCGCTCTGACTGCTGTCATACTTTTCACTTTAAACATTTTTCACACCATCTGCTGGAGCAAAGGAGGTAAAAGCAGCATCGTGGAGAACAGAGGTGAGAATAATCCTCCTGGTAGGAAGGGAGCTCCCCTCTGGCTGTGTCCGCCTCACTGCTTTGCCCCGTCTGCCCCTAGAGACCCCCTTCCTGTCTTTAAGGCCCAGCACAGGAGTTTACGTGGAGGAGTTTTCCGTTCCCTCACCACTGGGAATGGGAACATACCCACCGTGGTTTAGAGGTACCCAGGACTTCTGCCGCAGCTTTGCCCCAGGCCATTCTTCTCCCCTGGACGCCCTACCCGCCCCTCTCCCCTCCTCCGCCAGGGTCCAGCCTCCCTCAGCTCATCAGCCTATTCATTACTATCACCTGGAGCTGGGGTTTGTTTTGTTTTGAACGCTCCATATTCTCTCTCCAGCCAGTAGTGAGCATGCCATGTTATGAAAGGCACAAAGCACAGCTCTGGCCGGTGGGCACCTAGAGGTGGCAGTTCCTTTCCTTCCTCCCT